GTGGCTGGATTGGATTGCACCCAGGGAGATAATGGAACAATTGCCAGCACTGAGCTACATAAACAAAGGCTTCATGCAGAGGTATGCCAGGTAGTCAGGTCTGCAAATCAATCACCCAATCCACCTTTATCCATGTTTATTCAGAAGTCCACTGTGCTCAGATTACTCCCACATCAGTGTGCATACAATCACAGCCTGCATTTATCAAGGGCATAAAGCCCCTTTCCTAAGGGAGAAAGCTATAGAGGTTGGGGAATTTTGTTTGGAGGAAAGGAGAAGGGAACCTAGGTTAGAAACCTGAACATATCCACCTGCTTAAAAGCCCTACTGAACTTGGATGGACTAGTGAAAAAGTGTAGGATTCTGATGCAGAGATGCTAAAACTATGAAGGTTGGGGAATGTTATTAATTTTTATTACACCTTCTTGCCAAAATGGCTTCTCTGCAAAATAGAAAGGGTTGTTCCCTTTCATTCTGTCACTCACGCGCAATTCAAAATAGAGGTTATCCAATGAAACTGACAGGCGGCAGATTTAGGAAATGCCTCCTTCACCTAATGCAGAATTAGTTAGTGGAAACTGGTGAATTTTCAGAAACAGCTGAGCAGCAATGAATGCCACATACCCGTTACCTGATCGTGTCAGGTTAGGGCAGCAGGGAAAACTTGGACCATTGCAGCTCTGTTCTCTTTTAGCATAAGGCTAGTTAACAAAGGTTCTGGTGGGCTGAATGTGTGGAGACATACAAACAGGTCTAACCATCACACTGTTTAGACCTTTAACCCCCCTCTCCAAACTGTCCATCACCTCTCTAAGTACTACTGCCTCTGGGGACTCAGGACTCGCAGCTAGCAGGCACCATCTTAGTTCCCTCTAATGGCAAACTGAGGTGGCTGAGTACAAACAAGTGTGGGGCTGCTAAAAAAACCACCCAGTTGGTATCAACACACCCAGGTGAATTCTGAGGGATGCAGAAGGACAAATCACTTAAAAAAAAAACAAGAGGCGTACCCCTTTCTCATTTTTTTTTTAAAGCTCAATTAGAACAGAATCTGCTTAGTGGTTCCCAGAAGCCACAGAATGCCAAGTGCTGGATGGAAAAGAAAAAGAACGAAAGGTTGAATTGGCCGTTTTATGGCACTTCTTGCTCAGTGTTGTGGAGTCATAAAATTGTAGAGTTGGAAGGGACCCAAAATGTCATCTAGTCCAACCCCGTTTTTGCAGGTCCCTTGTTCTCTGCATGTGTTTGAAAGCGATTTATGCCAGGTGCCATACATCCTAGAGCAGCCTTTCTCAACCTGTGGGTCCCCAGATGTTGGACTACAACTAAGACTAAGAGCCAGTGTGGTGTAGTGGTTAAGAGCGGTAGACTCGTAATCTGGTGAACCGGGTTCGCGTCTCCGCTCCTCCACCTGCAGCTGCTGGGTGACCTTGGGCCAGTCACACTTCTCTGAAGTCTCTCAGCCCCACTCACCTCACAGAGTGTTTGTTGTGGGGAGGAAGGGAAAGGAGAATGTTAGCCGCTTTGAGACTCCTTCGGCTAGTGATAAAGCGGGATATCAAATCCAAACTCTTCTTCTTCTTCTTCTCCCATCACCCCTAGCTAGCAAGGCCAGAGCTCAGGGATGCTGGGAGTTGTAGTCCAACATCTGGGGGCCCACAGGTTGAGAACCGCTGTCCTAGAGGAAGCTGCCTTGACTCAAGTCAGCAGCGGTCTATTGAGTAGCCCAATGTTGTTTCTTGTCCGGCACCAACCTTCCAAGTCGATTTCCACTGCTAAGAGGCTTGCTCCCCTCAGAACTCTCCATGCATTATTCCCAATATCCTGGCTGGGCACTTCTGCTCAGTGAGCCTCACTCACCCCAGAAGGGGGAGAGAAGAGTCTTGCAAGGTGAGTCTATTCCCTGCGCTTCGCTTTCAACCTCCAAAAAGTTGCAGGTGAGGAATTTGAGTGAGCCTGGGATAACCAAACATGGAAGTTTTTTCCACTAACAGGGCATCTTGTTTGTGCAACAGCAAGTTTGAATACAGAGAAATATTTCCTGCCCATCATCCTTATACGTTCCTGTCAGGGGTTCAGGAGCAGAGGCAAGGGCAAGGGAGGAAACAGAGAGCGAGGGGGAGGAGGCAGAGGAGAAAATGAGTGATGACGACGACCCGAGATCTCCGAGTCTTTCCAGTGAATCAGACGATTCACAGGAAGGAGCACCAGTGGCCAGGGCAAAGGGGGAGACTAGGGGGACACCCCAGGAAGATAGAGCCAGAGGGGACTCAGAGGGGAGCAGTTGGAAATCGGGACCAGCGTCACCGCCAGAGAGCAGGGAAGAGGAAGGGCGCCAAGGATCAAGCGCTGGCAGCTCACAACAAGGGGGAGGGCACGAGTCAGGAGTGGCCACACCTCCATCGGGGAGCGAAGAAACGGTCAGACGGAAAGTGGCAGGTTGGGCGCGCGCGCCAAGTTCAAATGCACAGGAAGGTGACGCAGTGAGCAGCCCGGAAAGGGAGCCAGGTCCTAAAGCCCGGCGCAAGGAGACAGAAGGGTCCGGGGGGTCAGCGTCAGAAGAGTCCCGGAAGGAAGAGACCCAGGGGGGCAGAGGGACCCAGAGAAGAACAGTCAGGCGGAAAAGGTGGAGTAAGGCTAGGGTGTTAAGTTGGTGTACAGGGGGCGGAGATTCAGACGGAGCTTCGCCGGTCTAGCCATAAGACGTAGAGTTGCACGCAGCAGCTTGAGAATGGAAACTGTAACTCAATAAAGACCTTTATTTTAATGATCGCTGGCTAGCGTGATCCTCTGTGAGCTAGGATCTGGAAGCGACTCTGACAGTTCCCTTGCCAAGATTTCAAACCACCCACCTTGAGTCTGGACCGCTTTTTAAAAAAATAATAATATTGGAACACTGGCCAAGGGATGTACAGACCCTGAATTAATGCAGAATTAATTCCTGCATTGCAGGGGTTGGACTAGATGACCCCTGGGGACCCTTTCAACTTTACAGTTCTATTTTTCTAAGAGGAGAAAATGCACAAATGTGAGAATTCCTCCCAAACATGCCGCTTTCAGCCACACTTGTAAACTGTCCTGTTATTTGAAATAATTGCACATGTCAAGAAGGGAAGCTCCTCCATTCCGCCATCCAGGCCCCAATTCTTCCCCATACGTGGGTGACCTTGCAGCAGTGAAGTTCGTGTTTTTTTACGACACATCTGAGGACAGAAGCTGCCGTGCTGCTGCTGACAGTGTAGAGCAGGTGCACCATCTCCTTTTCTAAAAAGGCAGCATAAAGCAAAGCAGAGAGGGATGAGTAGAGGGGGAAACATCTGCTGGGCATGTTGAGGAGCCCAAGGTCAGCCCCTGGCATCTCTAGTTAAAACAGATATTGGGCAGAAGGTCCAGGATAGTGTCACTGCGAGTCCAGGAGTGAGCGGACTCAATCTTCATGTGCTGAAGAGCTGGTATAGCAGCTCTAAGCATTCGTCCCAGTGAAACCCGTGTCGAATGTTACAATATGGTATGTGCAAGATCTTGTCAGCAGGAGATCAAGTGCATCCATCTGGTGAAGTGTGCACATGCAGAGGAATGTAATAATAATAATAATAATAATAATAATAATAATAATAATAATAATAAATTAACAATTCTTATTCACCCTCAATGTTCAACTCCTGGTGTGATGTTGGCTGGGACAAAACGTCTGCAGCAAAGAGCCAACTTTGACCTCCCAAAGCACTTTCTCAAAAGGTTATCCTCCTTGCCTTGCTCGTTTCTCCCTCTTTGAAATCTTTGCTCCAAGCAATCCAGCCAGTTAGTGACTGGAACAACTCAACTACTGAAGATAAAAAGGACGGAGTGTCATTTGCAGTCTATTTACAGTGCCCAGTAGTCTGGGGGATGGGCCTTGTTTTTTGTCCTTGTTTTCATCACCTATTTTGTGCTTTTGTATTGTCTTTTTATGTTGTGAACCACTCCGAGATCTGCGGATGAAGGGTGGTATATGAATTTAAGAAATAGTCTGTCGCTTTGAACAGGGTGACTGCCTTCTAATAAAGTTAAAACAACCTGTTGCTTCATAAAGTTTGGCAAAGCAGCTAACTATTACTTTATTATTTCAGCCAGGACAGTTGCTCAGTAGGCTGCACAGGGATGCTTTTTCTAAGTGGCCACATACAGTGGAATTTCAGACCTGATCACATGTGGAAGAGCGTTGACACTACCCAAGCCAAAGCCCTGGGACCATAGCAAGATCAAGACTTACAGAAGAACTCACATGGACAGTGGGTTGCATGCCAGCCAGGGGCACGGCCAGCCAACACCTCCTTGCCCATGCATAGGCAAACTCGGCCCTCCAGATGTTTCAGGACTACAACTCCCATCATCCCTACATAACAGGACCAGTGGTCAGTGATGGTGGGAATTGTAGTGCCAAAACATCTGGAGGGCCGAGTTTGCCTTATGCCTGGCAGACCACCTCTCTTGCTGCAGCGGGTTTGCAACTTCCTGGCTAGACTACTGCATCCCTCTCTACATGAAGGCATCCTCCATTATAGAGGGCAGAAACAGGACATTTGGCATAGCACACAACCCTTCCTTGTAAAAATTTTAATGCTGCGAATGAAAAGAGGGTAAAAGGATGCTGGCTACTTTTGTGCTGAAATACTTGAGACAAAGTATTGAGGTGCTGAAGGTGAAGCGTTTGGGGTTGGGAAACAGGTCTCAGGGGGAATTGCTGCAGAAACTGCTGCCCACTTGGTGTGGACAACTGTGGTCTAACATTCTGCTTACATCGCCAGCCTTTTCAGTGAGCAGGAGTTCAGAAAAACTATTTCCAGATAGCGAGAGCTTTTCCCGATGGTGTTTCAGCTTCGGGATTATGAGCTGCATGCCGCATGCAATCAGCACAGGCCCCTTTGGAAGGGACCGTGCTCACCCCAGTCCCGAGTTCGGTTCCGCCTTGGTAAAAAAGCCACGCTTGGGTCAAGCACACACACATACGCAGACAGCCATGGGTTGGCAATACTTTTTTTGTTTTGTTTCGTTTAAACTACATTACATACAGAAACTTCAAACAAACGCAGACCAGATAAAGGAACAAAAGAAATCATTCCCAACAACATTTAAAACCATCCCTCATTTTTTAAAAAGCCATTTCGGTATCATGTGTAGTGCTCGCAAAAATGGAGAAGACACAAGGTGGGACGGGCGGTAGCGGCAGAAGCTTATGGCCAGGTGCCCCCAAAGCTGTTACGCTGGAGCAGCTGTAGCCCGTGCTGTGTCCCCTGCCCCACATCTCATTGGCCAGCCTGCGGGGTGGAGAGATGGAGGGGGTGATGACAGAAGTGGCAGCCTTCCGTTATACAAGCGCCTGGAGACTGACATTGCCCTTCCCACTTTCTTCTGGTTTCAAGCCGGAGCTTCCAGCTGGATTCCAAGGTCCAACAGAGAACCCCTCTTTCTCTCTCTCTCTTTCTCCACAAAAAAGAAGAAGAAAAGATCAACAGGAACACAAATAATGAAAAATCAGGCCAAGTACAACGGACATACCATCTTGCAAACAAACCATTAGTTTTCTTTTAAATTATTTTAATTCTACATTCGCTAGTTAAATAAATTACCCACAGTGAATACTGTAAGGAGGTTTGTGGTCTGCCAGTCCTTCAGGCCCTGGCATGGATAAGCATGCTACAATCTTTAGGCGTCTAGCACAGAACTAGACAGATAAGGCTCAGCTACCAAGTAGAAGTTGGACAGAGTCCCGTAGTGAGGACAGGGCAACCCAGGAGGAGGAGGAGGAGGAGGTGGTGGTGGTGAGGCAGGGAGGATGAGAATGAAAGCAGGGAAGCAAAAATGCTGGCAGTGGCAAGCCTGGCAGGGAGGTATGCCCAAGGAGGACCCCAATCACACAAATGGTTCCCAGACCAGAAAGTCTTAACACGCTTCTCATGTCAAGCCCTGGGAAGACTTCCTCAGCTTCCACTTTCAAAGTGCTTGTGTCCTTCACTACATACAGACTCTTGGGGTGGCCACAGTTGCTCTCTTCATTCCAGGGGAGGGAAAGCTCTGCAGCCAATTCCATCCCTCACTTGGTTCTCAGGGAGAATTAACCACTGCCACGATGAGATCATGCCTAAACAACAGCTTCTCAAGAAACAAGGAGGGTCCCTTCTGTCCCATGAACCACTGCTGTTCCGACACATTGCCCCCTCCCCCCCAGAAATACTGGAGAAGTCAGAAGCTTGGCAAATAGATAATAGATTCTTGCAGTAATCGTTGGGGGGGGGGGAAGAACTGCCTTCAATTATACAGGATAAAGGGAAATGATGTCTACCCATGAACCGCTCCCAATGGGTAACTTCCAAGTTAGCTCTTTGCCACTGGCTAGACTGAGATGATCAGCCACTAACTGTCTTAGCAGAGGAACCTGCTGGGGAAGGAAGAATGTGGCAGCTGGTCTCTTTTTAGGAGGTAGATGCCAAATGTATTGAAGTGTCTGGATGGGAGAACTCACACCCAAGATACCCCAACTCTGGAAAGGAGCCGAGAGGTACAACCACCAGGCTACAGCTTGTTTGCAGCACAATTCAACTGCACTTCATTCAAAGTTACTACATCACAAATTCCTCTAGACCTCCGCTCCAGTCGTCAGTAGCCAACTCTGTCTCCTCTAGTCCTAACTAGAGCAAAAGGTCTCTTCTTTTAAAAAAAAGCAGCAACAGGAGACATACAGATGACACAGTAGAAAAAGTCCACACATGGAAGACTCCATGGGTAGCATTCAACTAAGTTTTAGAATAGACCCACTGAAATTAAAGAACATAACTAGGTTAGACCCATGAATTTAAACAGGTCTGCTCCAAGTAAAACAAATCTGAATACCATCCTATGGGAGGACTGCCCAACCCTCCATCTCTCAAGTGCATTCTGAAAATATGGACAGGTGTTCTCTGGTAGGATCCAAAGGGAGGGAGTGGAAGAGGCTCCACTCGGTTTGCCATGTTCTGAATCTCAAGGATCAAGCCCATTTCGCTTCCCACACCCAAGTGGGATGCCAAGCAAACCCCTCTTTCCACTGGTGTTCCTCCAGACACTTCCATCTCTTGGGAGGGAGGTACAGCACTGCCTATTGGACAAGATGGTTCACAATCTCATCTTCCTTCTCTTCCCATCCCCAGGATTGTGTTCCGTTTCTTACGAGAGGGGTCTGAAGTCCTGCTAAGAACACCTTCCTCCTAACTACCATGTTAGCTCTTCCAACATCCAACCAGTTAGAGCTACTCCCAAAGATGCTCTTGCATCCAAGTTATATGACCACATGCCAAACATCAGGGTCTGGGAAGCTCTGGACATAGGCATTATCAGCACTCCCCCCCCCCCATTGCTAGCCTGTGGGAATTGATGTTGCCTTTTCAATCTACATGAGGACGAGGTCTGAGCTTTCCTATGACCTTCCAGAGACGGGCTGCAGGAAAGGCAGGCCCATTGAAAGCATTCCTTCTTCTGCAGTTACCTAGTATATCACTTCTACTCATAAGTTAAGGTTAATGCTGAAGCCAGTCCCTGGAAGCATGATGAGCAGATTTCTAACCTCTGCATTAGTGTATACATAAGCTCCTTTTACAAGTAAAACTTTTGGTGTGTGCATTTATTTCCAGAGCAACCACAGTACACAAATAAAGTAGGGAAGAACTATTTCAAGTCTAGACCTGCTCCAGTTTAAGGATTAAGTGATGTGCAAATTCTGGCTATTATTTAGAGGCCGCAGTCTTGACATCTGCTCCACAATAAAAGGATCCATGAGCTTTAGTTCCCAGGACAAGCTGCAAGCTTCCTCAATCCACATGTTCTGCACTTGAGCCCAGAAACAGCCTCTTCGTTCCGAATACCTGAGAAAGTGCTCAGTGCTGGTTTGCATTCCCAAATACAAGGAAGAAAGTTGCATGCACACACAGGCATCTAAGGGGCATTCTTGTTCCACGTGTTTTGAGCAAGTGTGCTGCCCTTCACAGACCATTTCAAAAGGCTGATCTTCCAGGCTGCCAATTCTCAAAAGCGCCCATTACAAGAAGTTGCCTAGAAGGGGGGCTTTAGCATGCAGCCTGCTTTGTGAAGATCTTAAGAACTAGTTCCTGATTCAGAGTCCTTGCAATTAAAACACCTTAGGGCAAGAGAGACATAATTTTGGCTTTGGCAACCCTCAACTGGTAAAACAAAAACAAAACCCTGTCTAGTTAGTCAATAATTCCTAATCACCAGCTAAAACGAACAAACAAGCCACAGCTGTATGCATGTCTGAAAAGCTCTTCCTCTGAAGCTCACAACTGTTTCAGATATTCCATGTATCCCACCCCATGCTGTTCAGGAAAGAAGTTCTGCCTTCACATTCCCATCAGACAGGACTAATATAATATGGGGCAACTCCTTTGCTGAACAGTTTAACATGCCATCAGCTGGAACATCCTGCTAAACAGCTTGCCAACCTTCAGCTCTCGTTACCCTTGGGCACTTTACTTTTTCTAAACACATGCTAAGACATTCTCCTACTCTGGGACTCCCAAGAGCATGTGGCCTGCTAAAATGAATGTGGCCCAGGCAGTCACCAGGAGCTTTTGCTGCCCTGCCAGGGCAAACACAAGACGGGTGTCTACATACCTGGCATGGCACAGTGTGCAGCTGGTGGGCCGCACATAGCTTGGTGGGTCACAGTGACAACAGACCAGCCTACTCCTGGGACATCGCAGACTAACTCCCCACATTTCACGCTTCTTTGACTACCACCTGCCACCACTATGACCAGGAGGCTGAAGGGAGAAAGGAGGACATTAAAACTGGGGGGGGGGGGGCGGGAACTGTTTTGCTACCCTTTTAACAGCAATAAGTCCCAAGGAGGACAGCACCTGCAGCAAATTCTCACGTTTTAAAAAACATACCTGATCCAATTAGTCCATATAAAGCATACATTGCCACCAAAAGTAGCTTCCTTTAAATAAAAAAATGGCATGAGGATGAGGGGGAAGGAGTCAAAAGGAGAGGGAAGAAAATCATCTTGGATGTGCAACCTATTAGTTCCTCATGATACAGTCTTCATCCACCACCAATTCCCCCCACCCCAGTTAAAAATATGTTTAAGAGCATCAAGCAAAATATCCCTGTAGATCTCGTTGAAATTTGGTGAACGGCCACGCTATCCTCATCCATATATCTATATATATATATATATTACATACATAAAATCACATTGTAAAATTGCATAATTACTATAAGAGCCTGTTAACTCATTTGCACAAGAAAGAAAGAAAGATATTTTTTCCAAAGTATTGGGAAAGTTCCCAAAACAGACAGAATAAATCACCCTGCATTCCGAGAAGTCTGCACTGATTTGGGTCAGTTCTATGTAGGTTCCTATCTAGTCTGTCAAGATCTCAAGCCTGATGGTGGGGGGACTGGGGTGGAACAGAAGGAACAGGGCAACGCCGGGACCTCTCTGGATTCTCTCCTCGCGAAGTGCAATTCAAGCCACGTTGAGGATGCTACTTCCTGCCAGAAAGGAAGAGCCAGCAACTTTTCTATTTGTCATCATTAACCTTCTATTAATCCTGACTTCATTTCAAACGCTTCTTCACAGCTGAACCGTATGGAAAAAGCTGGGGGAGGGGGGTGATCTAAACTACTGATACACAAATGGAAGATTGGTGAGCCCGCTACTGATTCATGCCACAAAGCACCCAGTACGCTATTATCTCCCCTCTCTACAGAACTCTACAGAATGTGGCATTTTAGCCCAGTTAGAAGGAGCCTGGCAAAAAGCCCCTTGCCTGGGTAGGGCGGGGGTCTCTGAAGATGACTTGGTTATCTGAGAATCTCCCATTTGTTTTATTCCAGTAAATCGAAGACAGAACCCACCACTTCCAGATTCTACCCAATTCTTGCTACTATTATTCAAGCCCACCAGGTCAGAAGGACACAGTGAAGGACCTTAACACCGCCACCCAACCGCCCTGACACTACATTGTGGAGATCACACACAATCATGACACAGATGCAGCCTTTTCACAATGTATTGATTGGTGGTTGCCAGCTTGACGCTCTCAAGCCTCGTCCGTACCCTGCACCGAGCCGGTTCCCCAGTCGCCTATTCCTGGCAGAGATGGAGAGAGAGACGAGGAAGGTAGCGGCCGCTCAAAGCTGTTGTATACCACACATGCAAAATGTTCTCTTTAAAATAATCAAATAACTGTGGAATCATAAAGGGGTCGAGGCAGCCGTTCGAGGTAACTCTGGTTCAGTGGTGCACGCTTTTTCTCTCTCGCCCTCTCATTCTCTCTCTCGGTCACTCCTGGAAAAGCCAAGCTTTGCTCTACGCTTACTTCTGTATCTGGAATATAAAGAGACGCAGGTTGATGTTCTTGGCTGCCAGCAATTTGTTACATTCCACAGAGTCTATGATGGGGAGCGGCACGTAGTCCGTTTCGTTGTTCTCGTTGGTAAAGACAAAGTGATAGATCACAGGGTTGATTTTCACGTCATCGTAAGGTCCTTTGAGCAGCAGGAACGAGCACTCCATGGGGGAGTTGATCTTGCTCTTGAGAATGAGCTGGAAGGAGAGAGTCCGCTTGCACGACAAGTTAGGGTTTCGTTCCGAGTCGTTAACGCGAGCCTTCAATACCCAGGTCTGGTTCAGCACTGTGAACCGCGGAGTCTCGTAGTAGAGGCGGGTGATGAAGTCATCTGTTCGGTAAGGACGGAACTGAACCTCTGCAAGAGAGCGAGAAGAAGGGGGTTGGGGGGGGTGTGGAAGAAAGGAGACACACAGTTAAACCAGAGAAGTTGGCAGCAGAAAAAAACAAAGCTCAAGTTACCTGTAGCTACTGTGAGGGGCCTTCTTTGCCAGGATGTAAGGAGACAACAAGGGTGAGAGTAGCCATTCAGAGCTAGTTTGGGGGAGAAGCAACTTGGCTTCTTGGAGGGAAGGGGAGTAGGGAAGAGGAGAAAATGAGATAAAACATCAATGCATTTTAACACTTAAAAACCACTACACAGTTTCATCATTGCTTAAGTTTGGGGGGGGGAGGGAGGGAGAGAATTGGCAGGGAAGCTCAACTGTGAACAATGCAACCACTGTTACTACGAAGCTGTCTGCCTGGAGCCACACTGCCTGAAGGAACCCTGTGGGAGCGTCAGGAGTAACCAATCCAAAAATCACCACTCCAGGATGGGAGGCGTCTGGAAGCAAGAGGATTTCTGCTCCACGTTCGTTTATTGCAGGACACGGAAGGTGCTATCACCGAAGCATCTTCAAGTCTTCTGGTCTTGCCCTCCATTCTTTGCACGATGCTGCCCCACTGAATAAGGAGCATTTCCTCAAGAGGCCACCAGCAGCGGCTTGTGGGGCACAATCACATCACAGCTCTAAAATTCAGACTTTAGGTCTAAGGCCAGACCCTTTACAGCACCACACTGGAGTCCTCTTCAAGTACCCGCTTAAGAATGCTTGGGCCACTGACAGGCAGTGAAACCAACTCATGCGCCATTCAGAATTGTAGGGGAAAGGCCGCTGGTTCCAGATTCGTTATGAGTGTCCATAACAACATACGGGTGCATAAAAACCAAGTCAGACAATGCAATTCATGTAACACAGCACCTTTATTTTATTGGCATTAACAATACAGATCTGCAGATGGCACAGTTACGTATCACCACAATGCAAACCAAGAAACAGGGAGTGGGGTGGGTGAAGAAGAAAGCCTTCAGGTTTTCACACAGTGCAGAAAATCCTGGGGTTAGATACATGAAAGACAGAGAACAGTACACTGAATCATTGAAAGCTCTATCCAATTTAGCACAAGTCCAGTGTCAGTCTCTTAAAACCCTTCTCCAGCAGAGTCCACAGTGCAACGAAGTGCTGTGTTTTGTTCAAGTATATCAAGATTGTTGGCTCAGTGTTTTAAAAGTCTTTGGTGTACAAAACCCATGGAATCTCACAGAAACTCAGGGACAGGGAACCTCTGTGTACATTTTTGCATTCTTCAGTGTTTCCGGGGAACGGCAGCAACACCTGGACAAAGGAGGTGATGGAGTTATTCAAGCCACACAATCAGCCCGACTCAGCACTTTTGATCTCTCCGTGTCAAGCAGTGACAGCCTCTCTGGACAGAGGCCGCCTCTTTTCTAAAGCAGAGGAAGATCTCCACCCCTCTTCTCTCATGGGCAGAGGCTGCGCAGCGTTCAAGGACACTGGGCAGGTGAGCGCTACCCTCAGCAGCCAGCTCTCAACCTGTGCAGGTTGAACCCACCACCCTTGCCCTCAGCACTGCCATGCGGGCACTGCCTAGCTCTTCAGTAGAGCCGTTTCCTTGAGGTTCTCAGATCTGGCACCACCAGGGTGTCCAACTGAACTGTTTGCCACCCCCAATTCCGGCTGCTTTGCCCGGACAACAAGGAACTTCTCGGGAGGCAGGCATCTGGCCACCTTGCTCCACATCCCAAGTTCACCAGGACTCTTATTGTCGCTTTGCTTTTTCAAGCTCCAAGCACCTTTTCTAACTTAGCCAAGACAAGCAAAATCCTCTTTGCAGGTTGCAGCACTTCCTGGGGCAACAGAGAAAATCCACTACTTCTCAGGACTGGAGACAACAGGGTAAACTCATTCAGGTCCTCTCTGCAGGAAAGGTGAACATTTACAGCAAAACAAAGGAGGTTGCAGTATCTATTTTCCCACCCCCAATCAATAAACAGTGATTTTTTCCCACACATTATGCTGAACATGTTGCCAAGCCTACTTCAGGAGTCATACCAACGGAGTCAGAGGCTTACCTGGAAAAGCAGTTTAGTTCTATCAGGATAAAATGACAGCTTCCTCCCTAACCTTGAAGATTTACCTTTATGGTTCCCCCACTTAAGGGGGAAAACACTTTGCTGCTAGGTCAAGAAAACCAGGAAAGGGCTCCACATCAGGAAAGGATGACAATGTTTCAACCTCTTTGGAAAAGGGGTTGGATGGAAAACTCCCAAAGTTTTCAAAATATGTATAGCAACCACATGAACAACCAACTCTCTGAATAGTAATCAAAACTTAAGCTGGAAGGTGCAATAATACTTCATTTCGCAAAGAATAGATTTCATGTAGAGTTTACAACCTAAGTAACATGGATATTAATACACCAAATTCCCAACCAAACTGGATGACTGACAAAGGGCAATCAATATTAAAACACTGTCCCCTCCCCGTCCCCCCCGCCCACTGTCCCCAACCCCATACAAAGCAACAGAACCAACACTGGTTTTAGGCCTTAGTCTGAGACCTGGATCATCAGCCCCACAAATGCAACTACAACGCCTTACCTGGAGCTATGAAAGGTCCTTCTTCCATGCGACATCAATGCTGCACAGTGGAATAACCAGCAAAGAAGAATGCCAAAGAAGCAGTCAGTTCTGCTCAAGAAGATGGCCTCCGAGCGCGTGGCTCAGGGACCAGAAGCTGGGCACAGACCGTGCAGCTTGTGACACACACACACACACACACACCCGGTCACTTTTCTTCCCAGGCCCTCAGCATCATGTAAAACATTTCTCACACACCCACACCAACACACACAGAGGTTCACCCTTAAACCTGAACTCTCTCAAGTGGACAAGGGAGGTTTCCTGGGGCAGACATTTTGTGCTGTAGCCCTGTCTGATCAGCAAAGTCTCGCTCTTCTGATCTAGAGGAACAGTTGATGCATGTTTATTTAATGAAAACAAATTAATAAATGTTGCATGAGAGAAACACGGCTATCAATAGACAAACGGCACTAACGCACCAAGGGGGAAAAAGCAAGGAATAAGCAACCCAGCATCAATCACAAAAGCTCTTTTCATCTATAGCCTGATCAAATCCCAGCAATTACCTGTATAGCCAATCTTCTCGAAGCTGAGCAGGCCAAATATGCTGTTGTACAGCTGCATCTCCTTTTTATGCGTTTGGTCCATTTCATCCAGAATCTCCATCAGCTCATTCCCCGTCTTTGTTGGGTGTGTGCACTCTGCCTCGTGTACGGTCAGCTCGTGGAAAGGGCCTTGCCAGGGGCACCCAATCCGCTTGTATTTGCACCGAGTAACTCTGAAGGCGGAAAGGAGGGCAAAACTCAAATGAGCAGCTATTTCGAGTAGGATGCCAGGGCGGATGGAGGTGGGGTGGCACACTGCGCAGCAATGCTCGGGGCAAAAAGTAGTCCCAAAAAATGACACACAACCCTTGATACGAAACATTCACAAACTACCGGACTCCTTTCTCTCCCCCAGGACTGCTGCACTGACCACAGCTTCCCAGCACAGATGTTAATAACAGGTATCAGAACAGAAAAGCTGTGCCTTCATCGCCAGGATGGGGCTTGTCGATATGACACAAATAAAATGTTTCATCACTGAAGAACAAGACCAGACATTTTAAGTCATCTCATTACATTACCATTCCTCTTGCCCCCGTGGCCAAGGCAAGGCTGCTCTGGCCCCCTAAATCATGGGCTGCCAGCCTTTTTGTACCTGTGGGTCCATTTCAAAACTGGAGAAACCGTCATGAACAAAGACATGCCTATTTACCCTGGCATTTGGCTTTTAATTGGGGCCCTCTGGTATGATGATACCCAAAGCCTTGTATTGGCTTTCATCTTACAATTGGGCAGGGTAGGAGCCATCCTTTTGGTGTTATTGAAGTATGACACTTTTAATCATTAATGTTCTTTCATCTTTTCAATCTTATTTTAATTTTTTTGTATTCTGCATGCGTTTATAACTGTAAGTTGCTTTGAGGCATTTTATGTAGTAAGCGACATAAATGCTCATCATCATCATCATCTTCATCACTACCCTACAGTTTTCTATGGAACTGTAAGATGGGTAGCGCACACACACACACACACACACACACACACACACATCAAGAGTGTTCCTGCAAAAGATTTGTAAAATACATATTGAGCACAGAACCCCAACTTCGCTGACGACTAGAGGGAGTGCCCCTTTTTCCTGTCGGTACCATTCCTGCCCATCCCATAACATCATAGCAAACTGCCTTGGATTCAACAGCAACTCTTTGCTAAATGGCAAGAAGAACCCTTTACCTGTCCTGGCATTCTTCTTTCTGATGCCTCTCCAAAAGAGAGCGAGGAAACTGACGCATGCAGAAGCCACACTCCGACGGCAGCTCGCTCACTGCTTTCTCTACGGCAAGATTTCGGCAGCAGAGGCTCTTGCTGATCTCGCAGCGACAATTTGGGCAAGTGGCTTGCTCCTCTTTCAGCCGGGCATCTGCCAGCAGGTGGATGAAGCACCCAGCACACATTAAGTGACCGTTTGTACACTGCGAGAAAAAGGAAAACCAGAACTTCAGAGGTTTTCTAGAACTGCAGAAGATTCACTCAATCCCTGTGTTATGCTTAAGTTCTACGTAGCTTATGTCATTTATATTTCCATTCTTCCTTGCTTACATACTAATGCTACTAATACTACTACTAATAATTTATTATTTATATCCCGCCCAGCTGGCTGGGTTTCCCCAGCCACTCTGGGTGGCTCCCAATCGAATATTAAAAACACAATACAGCATTAAACATTAAAAACTTCACAGTGTGGTGTAGTGGTTAAGAACAGTGGACTCGTAATCTGGTGAACCGGGTTCGCTTCCCTGCTCCTCCACATGCAGCTGCTGAGTGACCTTGGGCCAGTCACACTTCTCTGAAGTCTCTCAGCCTCACTCACCTCAGAGTGTTTGTTGTGGGAGAGGAAGTGAAAGGAGATTGTTAACCACTTAGAGACTCCCTAGGGTAGTGATAAAGCGGGATATCAAATCCAAACTCCTCTTCTTCTCCTCTTCTAAACAGTTCCCCATTCAAAAAAAATTCAATTCTCTACACTCTAAAAATTTTTATTTGCTCAAGAAGCCCCTTCATTGCATTCCTCACCTCTAGTGAGAAAAAGAGCAGGGACGGAAATGACTTAGAATACAGTTCTCCTCTCTATGTAAGCAATCATGGCCCAAGGCCAGCATACTTGCTTCAGACCCAGCCAGTCTGCAAGCTCAAGGAGGTCAAATGATTAAGTGTTCCAGAGCAAGAACCCGAGAAGCATTCCTTTCAAACATGCAGAGGACCATGTTCTTAGCCCACCACACAACTCAGGGACCTGAAGGTGATTTTGTAAGCTGCAAATGAGGTGAGAAAGACTGTACAACACTGTCCAAAAATAGTTGTGCCTTCAAATCGGCCAAATACATTCAGGCTGGGCAAGCCTGCTGCCCTCAGGCAATCAGTCTCAACAGGTACAGTTTAATTAAAGTCACCAAACATACAGCTGGGAGTCATCTAGTCAAGTGCAGAACATTCGATAACAGAGGTGCCTCTTTTATCCACCTTCCTTAATTTCTTGCCAACTTAAAGAGTCCCATCTCAAGTGTGCTTATCCTCCCATTCATTCAGATACAGACCATCCTCAAAGAAGAAAAGTGATCTGCATAGACCACCCTACACTTCAGCTGCAACCCAAAGACACACTTCTTTAGGATGAAACCCCAGTGAACACCGAGAGACTTATTTCTGAGTGAATGTGAACAGGACTGTGCTGTAAAATACCTACCTACAAGAGGTTCAGACAATTCTAGAATAGGCTGTCACTCCCATCTATCGCTTGCTACATACATATTTAGCAGTTTCCCATCTGAACCTGATGAGTTTGTGCACATGGATAAAATCCCACTACTCAGAATTTGGGGGCAGGTTTGCAAACCACTACTGTGAGTCTAGGCAATAATCTATTTAATGTGTCAGACTGATATACAATCTTTTCTTCCAAGGAGCTCCTTTTACTCAGTCACTATTTTATGCTATTTTCATATCACAGCAATGCTAATGCACAAACATCACTATATTTACTTTTCTGCCCTAACGCAAAACCAGGTGAAGGATAGCAACCAAAAGAACATCACTGAATCATCCCCTTATGGGGCTTTTAATAAACAAGGCTTTGGCCTTGGAAGCACAATTGTGCCCTGCATTTAACAGACCTGTCTTTCCAAGTCCTCATGAGGAGGAGGTGGCTCGGGAAACAAGAGCCTGGTTTTTCCCGTTTATTCTCACTCAAAACACCACATGGTGCTTCATAACCCTAATTAGAGAAAAAACACAGCAATTATACTTCAGCATCAACACAGGAAGTGGCAGTTAGTAACAGCACCTACAAGCTAGGATGGTGGAGTCCAAATGCTGGAATTACTGGTACCTGTAAATCTCAGCCAATAAAGGGGGGGGGAATGAAAGGCCATAGATCAGGGGTCTGCAACCCGCGGCTCCGGAGCCGCATGTGGCTCTTTTACACCTTTACTCCAGGGCGGATACTAGCGAGGGGAGGAGGCGCATTGTGCGCCCCGACACTCCCCACTTTGGTGGGCGCTTTACTGGCTGTGACGTCGAATGGGGGCGGTGCGTGCGTTAGTCATGCACCATCCCGACATCACCTTCCCGGTTTTGCGGCTCCCAGTTTTTTTTTCTTCGGAAACGGGTCCAAGTGGCTCTTTTTGTCTTAAAGGTTGCAGACCCCTGCCATAGATCATCATTTCACTGCCTCTTTCACCAGTCTGTCTCATAAGTCACATACAAGGCTAAGTGTAAGTGCAGTTATATACGAATGCTGGACGGAAGAGACCAAAATTATTCAGCATCCCGTCAACTGCTTCTATCTTGGATTCCTTTAGCCTGCCTTCCTTCAGACTCATCGATGTCTGCTGGCACTTGTGGAGAGATATCAGGTGTGTGTGATGCCTTTTACATCACTAAAAAAAATTTAAATAAAAAGCAAACATACCTGAACTCTGCATTTTCCTCAGCCATACCCCCTCCCTTGGGAGATATTTCTTACTCCTGGAATTTATATACACCACTTGATTGTAAGAAAACCTCTAAGGCATTGTTAATTCTACAACTGCCCTCATCCCTGACTACTGGTGAGGCTGCCTGGGGATAATACAAGTTGTAGACTGACATTTGGGGACTCAACACTGAAAAACACTGCTTTAGTCTGAGCAACTTCAGCAGGCATCTCCCTCTGGCTCAGTATCGTTGCTGGTCAATTTACAGGTCTCTTCTTCAAGCAAGGATAGAAAATAAATAGCTTAGACCATGCAAGCATTGTAAACTCTGCCTGGCTACGGTCACTGCTAACCCTGAAGGCACCACGCAGCAGCTCTGCTGGATGAGATTCCACTAATATACTCGCGACAGAAAAGATATATATCTTTTTGCCACCACCATAAAGGGAACCTCAAATGGGCTCTAGATTCAGTTAGCTCTCCATCATTGTCTCCCTAATGTTCTACAACTCCCAGAACAGAAACTTGATTTTTCTTTTCCTGTTAGGAATGGAGAGCCCCACCTGCCTCCTGTGCAAGGAGCCATTTCTCCTAAGTAGGTAACATCATAACAGAAAACATCCCAAAGCAGTAGCTCCAAACCAAGTGGTCTGTAGGCTGAAGTAAAATGAAGGCACAACACCTGCAGGACAAAAAGAAATAAATAACTCTGTGCAGAGGGGCTGAATATTCACAAAACCACGTTCCGCTCAATTTAAAGACCAATATGAATTCCCCTGACTGTATTGGCCAGGAATTCATCAGAGAGAGAGAAACTAGAGCAATAAGTCAAAATCCTCCTTGGCACCAAAAATACATATCGCCACACACTCTGCCTTAAAAAGGAACACTGGTGTAGCAAAGATTTCACAAGTGACCTGTAAACAAAGCCTTTATGTATTTGCTAACTCCATTTCTACATTGCCAAATAGCAGGCACTCTCTGGGTGGTTCACAAAACAGGTTAATAATAATAATAATAATAATAATAATAATAATAATTTATTATTTGTACCCCGTCCATCTGGCTGGGTTTCCCCAGCCACTCTGGGCGGCTTCCACAGAGACCAAAAATACACTAATATGTCATACATTAAAATCTTCCCTGAACAGGGCTGCCTTAAGACGTCTTCTGAATGTCAAGTAGTTGTTTATCTCTTTGACATCTGGTGGGAGGGCGTTCCATACGGCGGGTGCCACTACCGAAAAGGCCCTCTGCCTGGTTCCCTGTAGCTTTGCTTCTCGCAATGAGGGAACCGCCAGAAGGCCCTTGGCGCTGGACCTCAGCATCCGGGCAGAACGATGGGGGTGGAGACGCTCCTTCAGGTATACTGGGCCGAGGCCGTTTAGGGCTTTAAAGGTCAACACCAACACTTTGAATTGTGCTCGGAAATGTACTGGGAGCCCTCCCAGTTAAACAGTGGCCCCAAATGTTGTCAGTCTACAGCTCCCATCAGCATGGTCAATGATCAGGGATGATGGGAATGATAGTCCACCAATATATCAAGGGTCATGGGTTAGCCACCCAGTTTAGAACCATAAAATACAAGGATAAAACCATGTGAAAACAGCCACAGAATAAAGCCAAAGCAAAACCAACAGTATTGCAAAGATCTTTTTTTTAAAAGGCAACCCATTTTTAAAACTGAAGGACTAAAAAGCTTGGGGAAATTAAGAAAGGTTTTCATCTGACAAAATCATCCAGAAAAGGGCCTCAGAAGACGATATTATGGTACATGTGGGCATATATGGGCGGAGGCTGGCACTCCTTGGCCACAACCTGTTTTTGACTTTAATACCAGCATTATGAAATGGGTCGAGGAATGGGCAGCCAGTGCAGATGACAGAGCATAATATTAACCACCATGATGCCTATTTTGAACCAACTGAAACATCTGGAGGGTTTTTTAAAGGCAGCCGCACGCAGGACGCATTGCAGTATTCCAAAACGGTGATGACAGAATGTGGGTAATGGTGTCAACGCCGTTTCTATCAAGCTGATCTATCAACCACAGCCCTAAGACGATGAGAGAAGGCCACCTATGTGTCCAGCAACAGTACAGTGGTACCTCTGGTTACGTACTTAATTCATTCTGGAGGTCCACTCTTAACCTGAAACTGTTCTTAACCTGAAGCACCACTTTAGCTAATGGGGCCTCCCACTGCCGGAGCACGATTTCTGTTTTCATCCTGAAGCAAAGTTCTTAACCCGAGGCATTATTTCTGGGTTAGCGGAGTCTGTAACCTGAAGCGTATGTAATCCGAGGTACCACTGTACTAGGTCCAAGAGCACCCCCAAACTACAAACCTAATTCTTTAGAGCAGGGTTGGCTAATGACCCCATCGGCCTCCAGATGTTGCTGGACTACAGTGTGGACTGAGTCTCCCGTTTACTGACCCTCATTCAGTATACTGCATTAAGTTAGCAGGGTGGGCATGATGTCATTCACCCAAGGATTCTCA